TCCAACTCCTGAGCTCAAACAATCCGCCCGCCTCGGCCTCCCAGAGTGCTAGGATTACAGGCGTGAGCCACCGCGCCCGGCCTTCTTTGAATTCTTAAAACATGCTTCCTTAAAGGAATTGGGATCATAGGAACACAGAAGGGACAGATGGTGTGTGTTTGCCTGAAGGATAGAATTATGAGAAACGAAGAAAGATAGGAACAACTAAGAGGTAGTAATTCTTGCCAGCCTCTGACAGCGTGATGTCTGCAGTGGCGCTTGCTAGCTGATTTTCTGTGGTGTTAGTCTTTGACAACTTCCTGTACTGAGAAAGGAAATAACAAGTCTGATACTAATCTTCCTGTTATTGTAGAATTCCATCATCTCTTCTGAATCCCCGTCAGTCCTTCCCCTGCCTAGGAAGTTCATCAGGGTGGGCTCCCTTCCTGTGGTTCCTGCCCTCAGAGGATCTGGGGAGTCCAAACTGAACATCTCTTCAATTAACCACCTCTAAACCTCCTTTAGCTCAAAAAGGGAATGGCCACTGGAGCCCCGTTAGTTCAGACAGCCTTTGAGTTGTTCCTTCTCCTAGTCATATGGAACTTAGAGGTTGAAAGGGCCACAGAAGCCACCGGAAAGGCTGAGTTTCTGGGGAAAGGAAGAAAACTTGTAACCTTAAATTGGTGTTTCCTTTTTCTCCAGTCCACTAATAGCCTTTTGATGTAGCAATAATGTATGTTTGGAGATGATGTATATTATTAAGAACAATACTAAAGAGAGCTGAAAGCATGTGGGCTTTGGAGAGGATACAAGGCTTGAAGTTGGAAGGCCTGTTCCAAGCCTCAGACCTACCGGTTATGGACCATGCAGGCTGGGCCAGTCACTGACATTGGTTGGATCTTTGTTTTCCTCCTTGTAAAGCAAAGGATAATAATACTCAACTTCACAAGGTTGTTGTGAGCATCAGTTGTGGTAATTTACTATGTGGAGTACTTTTTAAAACTGTGAAGCACTCCACAGATGCAAGGGATGATTATTGTTGTTGTTATTCTTGATCATCTTCCACCTATCCAACCATCAGCTATGATGTCAGTCATCTTCTTCAGACTCTTCGGGAGACATTGACTGGCTTTCCTTGCATGGGTTAGAGCACTCTCTCCATTTCCGGTTTCCTTGCTATGGTGAGTGGGGATTAATCTTCAGGCCTCTGGGAAAAGAGACTGGGCAGTTGAAGGGGAGTGCTAGATTTATTCATCCGGTGAGTGGGCTTCGTCATGTATTCATTCACATGTATCGGGTGTTTCAGTAAGCTCAAGGGCAAAATGAATAAAGAATCTCCCATCCTCAAGAATCTGAGAGTCTAATTGGGAAAATGACCTTAATGACAATGACATAGTAATAATGTGAACCACGAGGTGTCCTAGGAGCCCTGATGGAGTGCAGTGGTTGGTCCTCAAAGTGTATTTCCTTAATAAATAAATAAATAAATAAATAAAAAGTGTGGCGGTAGCTCTAGCTGGAGCAGAGATGAGCGAGTCAGGAGGAGCTTTCTAGACAAAGACATCTAAAATCAGACTCCCAATGATCCAGACACCTGCACCCTTTAAATTCACAAGTGGGCCAGGATATCACAGGTGTTTCTTTCCTTTAGCATCTTACAACTCAACGTATGGTCCCTGGATCAGCACCTGTGAGCTTGTCAAGGCCACTTTGACAAGGCTACTTTGAATACTATTTCTGTCTTTTATGTTAGTCATTTGGGTTCTTATCTCATTTCACTGTAACTTGTTGGGGAGCAAGGGGATTCTTTAGGGAAGTTTCCATTCTCTTGAGTTTTCAGAAGCTGTAAGTTGGCAAGGGAGATACCATCTCCTATTGAAAACAGAAGAAAGGATGAATTTCCTTTTTGAGTCCCTTTCAGATCTCTTGCTGGGGTGATCTAAGCTTTCTGTTTTATGGGAGAGGGATGCATTCAAATGGGGGGCAAGAACTGGTGTTTTTTTCTCTTCTTCTTTTTTTTTCTTTTTTATAGCAGCTCCTTGGCAAAAAAGAATTAATCTTTTTTTTGGAGACAGAGTCTCACTCTGTTGCCCAGGCTAGAGTGCTGTGGCGTCAGCCTAGCTCACCGCAACCTCAAACTCCTGGGCTCTAGCAATCTTTTGCCTCAGCCTACTGAGTAGCTGGAACTACAGGCATGC